TATCTATCTATCTATCTATCTATCTATCTATCTATCTATCTATCTATTAATGTGTTTATCAGCTGATAGAAATTTGTCATTTGTCCATTTAAACAGCGCACGGTGGCTCAGTTGGTAGTGGTCGCCCCTCAGTGAGAAGGTCACTGGTTCAAATCCCAGCCAGGAACCTTTCTGGGTGGAGTGTGCATGTTCTCTGTGCAAAAGCAAAACATTTTACACAGTAAAGTTCCCAAGAAATATATGCAGTATTCATTTTTTTAAATCTGGACATTTTTCCAGCAACAAAAGCATCAAAAGCTCGATGAGACATTGTATTGAAATAAAAACAGATTAAATGAAACTTACAACTGTAAACAATGAGATTGTAGATGTCTAAAATGTAGGTTTTGTTTCAGGTGTGTTCACACTTCATTTTAGTTAGTTTGCATCTGGATCTGAAAGTCTACTACATGTGAAGAAAAACTGGGATGTAATTTGCTTCAAAAATTGTGTTTGGGATATCTGAAGTGTTGACTGTAGATTGGACAAATAGTGCCCTGAATATCTGAAATCTTATATTGTTACTGGAAAGAACTGAAATATAGATATCTAAAAAGAAAAAAAAAACATTGTTACCATTAAAAGTTAAGATAACACTGAAAACCTTTATAAAGATTTTTAGATGCAGCATTACAAATTTGATTTTTCCCCAACTCAAATTTTGTTTTATTATGAAATGTTTTCCTAGTTATCTTTAGCTTTTATTCTGACTAACAAGAATGTTATCAATTGTTATGTTTTTTTGAGGTTATAATAACCCAAGAATGCAGACTGACACGAGGAGCCTGAGATAAAAAAAAAAAAATTTGATTTAAATAAAACAAACAGCTCTGATGGCAGCTTACAAAAAACTCAAGGAGACACAGAGGAGACAAAGTGAACATGGTGTCAAACACACACGATGTTGGACTGATGAGGGAGGTGGAACGATAAGGATTGGGGCTGATGAGATTATTAGAGACAACTGAGTTTAATGAGACAGGTGTGAGTGGACGTAACAGGACTGAGGAGCTGGAGCTAATCTGAGGAAAACAAACTGACGGCACAGAACACAGAAAATAAACAATAACAAAAAGAGATAAGCCTAACAATGAACACGACTACCAAAATGCAACAAAAAAATCAAGTAAAAAAAGATACTGGCAATGATAATATTTAAAATTGTCATTAAAAATGAGCTTGTGATTTATTTATATGATTTGATTATATGTTGCAACAACCTGCCTTACATTACACTTTTGCACTTTCATCTATGTAAAGAACCTGAACCTCTTGTTTGTTTCCTTGTCTGTATGTCTGTCTGTCTGTCTGTTTGTTTGTTTGTTTGTTTGTTTGTTTGTTTGTTTGTTTGTTTGTTTTATGTCCAGCGAGCTGTGAACACATGGGGCAGGTGTTTGGGGTTGGACAGAGCTGGATGACCAACGACTGCTACCAGTGTGTTTGCATGGAGCCCTTTGGAGTTGGATGCTGTGACCTGTGAGTTTATTTTGTCATGCAAACACACACACACACCCACACCCATTCACATTTGCCTTGCTATCTTTACAGTGACGTTGCATTGACTTCCATTAATTTTTCATTAATTTCTATAACCTAACCCTGACCCTTACCCTAAACCTAACTATTACCAGTACATACCTCTAAACCTAAACCCTAACCCACCAATGGCACTTCTTCTTATGGGGCCCGGGCTTTGGGCCACATAAGGGGCAGTTGGTCCTCATAGTGGTATGTGTTGGAAAAATGGGCCTTACAAGGTAACATATACAAAGACACACACACACACACACAAACTCTCTCTCACACACACACACACACACACACACACACACACACACACACACACAC